TTGAAGATGCTTGGAATTAGGTCAGATGAAGTTTTTGCATGGAAGTTTGAGGCAAAATACCCTTTCTTGTTTGCTCCTTCAGCATCTAAGCAGTAGCTGACTGCAGCCCATCTGCGCTCCCTGCCGCTCCCAGCCTCCTGCTGTCAGCCTGAGCGGGACAGGCTCAGTGCTCCTCGCGCCGGCAGGGCACCCAGCCTGCAGACCCGACCCCATCCCCGGCGCGGGGGTGTGCACCGCCTGAGCCCCCTCCACCCGCTGCAGCCCAGCGCGCCTTACCCGCGACTCCTCCGCGAGGTGGGCGTTCATTTCCTGCTCGCTGAGTGGGGGCATGTCGTGGATTTGCTTGTAGTATCGCTGCACTATCTTCCTGTACTCGGGGATCTCCTTGGCGTACAGTAGTTTATTGGTCGGGGAGTCCTAGAGTGAGGGTGAGATACCAAAATCAGGCACCGTATTGTTCCTGGCTGAAAACTTTTTATCCTGTTTGTCTGACCAAAGTGCTAACCATCAGACACCGACTTCACTGGGTTCGGGAAACAGCTGTCTTTGGTCCTGGCTTTACACAGACGGGAGTGTGGTGGGAAGGTACCGAGGCACAAAGCTAACGACAGAGGTGCCTACTCAAACACATCAAGGTGCTGCAGACAGGTACCACCCGCCCGCAGAGTCGCAGCACTGTCCCTCTGCCCTTCTTCCTAGGACCAGCTGAACATCTGTTAGCTACAATGCTGGTGAAGGTGGTCTATGTGAATGTGTTTTAATTTGCAGCAAGAGCAGGCTAAAAAGCATGCACAGGGTCAGGCGGGGTGGCTTGCTGCCAAGTGATGCTCTGTAGCACGACTGTGTTAGATAAAACACTTGTGCTCGTGGCTCTGTGTGTGGAAACTGGTAACAAGGGAAGGGCTTCTGCACGCATTTACTCGGGTCTCTTGAGCAGCCAGCTTGATTTAAACTGAAGAACAAAGCTCTCTTGCAAGCTGAACTTTATCAGTTGAAATGTTGCTCTAGGATTTTTCATGTAGCTTTGATTTATTTTGCATTGGCTAACCCAGCCTCCCTGGCCTATAATGAGTGCATGTAAAGTAATTAATAGAAAATACTGAGTTCTCTTGATTAATGTCAGCTTGGACAAAAGCAGTCTTAACCTCCCAGCCACACGCTTGGGTTGTACCAGTGAAGGCATAACCCCACCTGCACTCCTTACAAACACAAGCATGAATGATTTTGACCTCAAAGCGATCCTGCCCCGTTGATATCATTACCCTGGGAATGAACTTGGCTGACTGGCCTGGCATTGCATCCCGAAGGGAAACAGCCCCAGGCTCGGGGACACAGAGGGGAGTAAGATCGACGTGTCCCGCCGCGCCGACACGAGTGCGGGACTGCTCGCCAATGCTCGGGCAGGTGGAGGGGGGAGGCTCCTCGGGGGAGACAAGCACCGCGGGGCTCTAGCCGTGGGGCCGGCAGCGCCAGCTGTATCGGGCAGTAAATAAGGAAGCCCAGGGTGACTGCAATCTGCTGCTGCAATATGTAGTGTGGCTAATGCTGCAGGGGAAATGGGAAATGGGCACCAGGCTGTGGCACCAGATCCCACAGCAGTTTATTTTCAAACCCAACGACAAGGCATTACAGGAATACTGCCAAGTTACAGAGCCTGCTCACAACATTTCTTTTTCCCTTGTAAACACAAAAGAAACCCATGCTGCTTCTTTTTTAAGTTAATTTTTAATTTGTGTCTGATTTGTCTGTATTATGAAGAGATGGGTACTGGTTTATTAACTGCTTGCGCGCCGTAGATGTACGGAATCCGAATCTGCTCGCACATTTGCAGTATCAAAAGCAAAGTGCTGAAACCAGGGGAAGAATCCAGCCTGGAAAATGTTCAGCGATATACTGCGTGTATATGCAAGCTGATTTTTATGCTGAGGATTTATTCTTCCCACATTACTCAACAATTCCTTCACTTATGCTATTGTATTCCTGAAAAATGTTTCCATCTGCTGCCTGACTCCAGCTGACCCCTCTTCCCCTCATCCACAGCTTGACAAGGACAAATTGTAGGTGTTTCGTAACACATGCAAAAAAAAGTCCAAAACCCAAACAAACAAAAAATCAAGCGCTCATTAGATCTTCCATCGGTATTAACCTCTCCCAGTGAAGGCTTCCTGTTGCTCTCCATCTGGGGGATGCTCTGAGCAGCGCCCGCCTCCCGCCCCTCTCTCCGTGGGGTCCCCTCGACGTCACACACTGTGCTGCTGCCAGCCCCTGGGGCGGGGGGGCGGCGGGGGACGATTTACAGCGTTTCTTAATAAAACTTATTTATGTCGGGAAGTTTCAAATGTCAACACTGCACTCAGCCAAGCCAGTGGGAGAGCAGAAAAGATGCACGCTGGACGTCTCGCTGCCTGCTAGCCCCGCAGGATGGTGCGTGGGAGCCTGATGGCAGGAGAGGAGACCTGGCCCATGCAGGCTCACGTTTGCTCAGGGCAGGCGTAGCTTCCTAGGCAGGCGTGCCGAGTCCACCGGGCTCTGACCGCACGGCGGAGGTGGCCAGCCTGTGATGGAGACGCTGCCACCGGAGGGGAGCACCAAGGGCTCCACAGGCAGGGCTATGGCAGCGCCGGCCAAGTGCCTCCCACGTGCTGATGGACGGCGTCGACGGGATGGCCCTGGGCAGTCCCCACACCTCCCCGAGAGCCAGGCTGGGTCTGTGCTGCCTGGGCAGGCGCAGCCTGTATTCGGGAAGGCTCGGCTTGCCTCCTGCGCCTCTCGCGGCTCTCCTAGGGGAGAGGTGCATAAACCACTGGCAGCGGTGATGAAAGCTTCACCTTAGGTTACATAATTTTTCCATCCTGCTGCTGGGGGTTTACATCGTCCCTCAGCTGCTGTTATGGGATCGTTAGACTAGTGCTGCCCCCTAAGCCAGCCCTGCCCGAGGGAGCTGTGCTCCCATGCCGAGCCTCCCGTGCCTGGAGCAGAGCTCAGCCCCACCTGCGCTGGCCCGGTTACAGCCCTGCCGAGCCGACAACAGAGGACACTGAGCCCCAGCTCAGCCCTGTCGGGAAGCGTTACCGACGCCGCGCTCAGTAAGCCGGGTGCTCTCCTGGGACCATGGGACAACTCGTACGGCCACATGCACCAAGCACACAAGCCAGTGGCTGGGGCTGTCTCCATCCTCCTTCTGGGCCGGGGCCTTGCCCTTTGTCCATCCCGCCTGTGACCGCATGTTCCCCCCTGACTGCTGTTGGTGACAGAGGGGGTGCAAATTTCAAGCTCAAGCCTGAACAAAGTGGTGGGAAGGGAGGGGGAGACCTCATCCTTGGAGACAGCCAAAACTCAACTGCATGAACCTGAGCAACTGGCTCCCAGCCCGCCCTGCTGCTGGGGGCGGCTGGACTGGGTGACCTCTGACAGCCCCTCCCCACCGCACCGGTCTGTGTCTACGAGGGCCCGAGCCGCAGCGAGCTGTCCTCGCTGGACGGTACCTTGCCCAGCTGCAGGTCAGACAGGGAGCAGGCATCAATGAAGGCCTGGGCTATCACAGAGAGACAGGCGTCGATGTGGTCTGTCTTGTCAATGTCAAAGACGAACTGCGGGTTCTTCAGGATGTTGACCCAAAACCTCAGAGGTAGGCTGTGAAGAAACAAGCCAGGAACACCACTGGGTGTACTGCAGAGGGAGCGGGGAGGAAGTGCAGGAAAGATGATGACAGGAAGTGAAGAGTAGAAAAGAAAAAAATGAGGAGCCAGGTTCTGCTATTTAATCACAACCTGGTAGCGTATGGCCTTCTGCCCAGCTAGAGGGGCCGGCACACGTCTTCACCCTGGGGACATCTCTTCGGGCTGAAGCACGCGGCATGGAGAGGAGACTTCATGTACAGCCTTGTCTGGGCGAGCACATACCCTCGCTCCTTCAGCAGCTCCCTGAGCCACCGGCAGGTTTGCCTGCCTGTGGCTGTTGAATCAGGCTTTCCCACTTGCTGAGTTTTGTAGCAATGGTGTCAACTCCTTTTCCTTCTTCCCCAACAGTAACAGTCATCTGGTTCTGATGGTGAGCCTGGCCCCGTGAAATGCATTTCATGTGTCTTTTTTTCTGCTCTCTCATCATTTTCTCCTCCAGTTATTTCATTGGCCACAACACGGTTTCAGTATATTGCTCGCCCTTCCTACCATCCCTCCTCAGCAGCTGAGGAGTGAAAGCTGCTGTAAGTCTTTGCTCTACTGGCAATTAAAGGTAATGAAGGGTAGGCAAATCTTTAGCTCAATGGTTGTGTCTGCATGCCTGCTATCCCAGCCAAATTTGTTTTTAATTTTCACGTTGGGCTGGAAACAGTTACTGTCCCTGCAGCCCCAGAAGCGCTGAGCCTCTCCTCAATGCTACCTCTGAGCTCCCTGCTCTCCCCGGTTAAATCTTCTGGTTTCTCTCCTGCTCTATTTCCCCCCTCCATTTTGGCTGCCCCATCCCTTTCCTGCTTCTCATCATGTCCCTCAGCACTGCTCCCAGCTGGCCCACCAGCAGGCTGCTGTCATAGCACCAGTTCCTGGAGTCCAGTGAATACCCTGGAATCTTGGTTACAGAGGTGAGTGGCGAAAAGTGACCCCAAGGGCTGAAAAGCCAGAAAGCAAATGAAAATGATCCAAATATGCTGTTTTTAAAATCTTCCTGATGTTTGACGACCTGACATAATTTTGGACTCTGTCTCAGATCTACAGTGCTTGGAGCTAACACCATTGCTGTCTCCCGTTGTCCCGACCCTCTTCTGTTTTTCCTTTAATTATCTGTGTTAGTCTGCCAGTTCATTCTGCCCTTTATCTGCCTATGCCTCTCCCAGCTCACCGTTCCCCTGAGCTCTGTGTTTGTTCAAAGCTCTCCAAGCCTGCGTTTGGCCTCATCTTTTGCCACCCCCTTTTCCAAGTCCCTCTTCTACTTTTAGCAACTTATGGATTAGTGCAAGACACCAAGGCTTTGCAGCTGCTGCTCCTGAGAGATGGAAGGAAGGAAGAAAGAAGAGATTTCCTCTTCCAAACCTGTTGGTCTTCCAGATGTGCATAGTGTCAGGGTCTGTGATCCCTCTTTTCTCTGCTTGCTCCTCTAGGAAGTCAAAGAAATACTTCACGGCCACAGGTGGTTTATCATCTCGGATACTGAGAATGGCTTTGAATAAGTCATCCAGGAACTTCTGCAGCGTGCCCTGTGGGACAAGAGCACACGATGGAGACCAGGGAAAGCAGCAGCACCCGAGCCCAGGAAAACAGCATGAGGGGGTGCACACAAATCCTTGCTGCCAGTTGGACAAATCAGAAGAGAAAGGGGATGCCGAAGCAGGGAGGGGAAGGTTTGTTTGTGCATATCGATATAATTAGCTCGCATTTGGGTTTAATTTCTTTTGGCATCGAGATTTTCTTTCTTACTGCTAGGTTCTCACATCTGTGATTGTTCTGCACAGTAAATACAAAGAACACTGGAGACTGCTGGCCATTCTTGTGATCTCTGCTCCAGTGAGGCATCATGCTGCGATTAAAGATGGGCTGGGAGCCCAGCTTTTGGAGCTGAGCACTCGCAGAGAGTGGGGAAGTTCAAATCTGAATTAAGATCACACAGACATTCCCCCTGCTCCCAGAGATGAGCATCTCCATCTCCTTTCCCAGCAGGATCTCTCGCTGGGGAGATGGGTTCAGGTCTAAACTGTGCATCATGAGCCCTGAGGCGGTCAGCATCCCTTTCATGTGCACAGACCCCAGACCAGCCTAGGGAGATCGTGTGGGGCTTCATGCAGGAGCGCTGCTGCTCAGAGGGCGAGCTGGAAAGCTGGAGGGAACCCAAGGAACCAGTGGTGCCCAGCCGCCCCGCGAAACATGCTCCAGCCGTCCAGGACAGGGGAGTCCCCCCGCCTCTTGAGAGCGACTGGCCCCGTAGTGCTCCTTCCCCAGAGTAGGCTTCTTGCTACGAACAATAATCCCACCTGCCGCGCATGAGGGCGTCCCGTCTCCTACCTTTGTGGAGAGCAGCCTGGTCAGGTAGATCTCCGGTAGGACTTTCTTCCTATGGCTCTGTCTATGGGACTTCTTATGTTCAACTGATTCATCGGTTGGGAGAACCTGGTCCAATATAAAACACATGTTCAGAGCACTCCTCTCTGGAAGTGTCACACTGAATTTTCCTTTAAGTATAGAATTTCAACTGCATATAAAATTCAATTAAAAAGCAGTTACTGTGTTATAAATACACCCTTATATGGCTTTAAAAAAGTGATTCATAATACTTAGTTTTTCTGACATTTGTTTCTCTTGCACTCCTTACTGCCTCTCTCAAGCTAGACAAAGAAAATGAAACCATCGATCTCACTTTACATGTTAGTCTGCTCGCCTTCCTGGTCTCTGTGCAGTACTCCTGTGTGGCTGCAGTTTAGGCTCCTAGAAGCAACATACAAGGCTTCCGTGGAAACCAGCTTTTCTTAGATTTGGAAAAAGCCAATATTCCTACTCTGGCCTTTTTAAAAACAAAAAGAAATATTCCACTGGCCAGGTCAGTTAATTACTGCTCTATAATGACCTAGCAAGCCATTTAAGTCCATCTTGGCAGTGTTTCACATGTGCAGATTTGGTTTCCCGTCCCTTCTCTCTCCTTGCTCTATGTGTACATGTGCGTGCATGCACATGCGTGCAATGCATTGTGTGTTTGTACTCTATTTGAGCACGGAAACTAAGCAGAGGAAAAAAAAATCAGTCTATAAAATATTGTTGTTGTCCGTAACACTTTTTTTCATAACAGCTTTTAGCAACGTTTAGCACTTCGTACTTCCAGCGTGGCGCACAAGCAGGAACTAATAAATCTCCCCAGCCCTGGGAAGCAGGCAGCATGCCAGGAGCTGCTGGTAGGTGACTTGACCAAGGCTGTGCCGGGTGCTGCCGGTGGCGCTGTGCTGTGCTCTGACCACGTTCCTGAACCCTCCGTGGCTGCTGACAGCTAGATCAGGCACAACAATTACTTTGCCATCCTGGTAATTTTTTATGTCCATAGTACTAAAGCTTGTCTCCAGATAATCTTTCTGCGCCTCTGAGCCCCTCTGAAGAACACTGACAAGCCCTGATCCAGCTTGTTCATCACATCTGATGTTCCAGCCCAGAGAGATGAATTAAGTTAGTATCAGCAAGGCTGAGATTTTCTCCTCTTTCATCACATACACTGAAAAAACAGGACCCATAGACTTAAGTGCCAGAGAGGAGGGACCTCAAAAGACACAGGAGATTAGATGGCAGCCCTCCACGGCCACAAGGAGCCCTTCCTCCAGCGCCGCACCGGTCCCCCTGGGCTGGGCCACGCTGCCTGCCCGTGCCCTGCCAGTGTCCTCGCTGTCGTGGCGGCCGGGCGCGGGCGGGGGGGCGGGGCGCCGC